ACTTAATTTGACTTTTTTTGAATAAATATTAACTTAATATTGTATTGTTTTTGTCCAAAAAAAAAAAAAGAATGTTTGGTTTGTGAGACAGAATTACCATGTCTGGTTTTTTCTTCATTAGTGTATGTTTGATTTAGGGTATACTATTTACCAACATCTTTTCATCTCTCTCTTCTTTTATTATTTGGATAAATTTAAAAAATTAAAAACAAAAAATAAAATAAAAAGACTTCACTCTCCTCTCCCTTATTTTCCTTAACCAAGCATATGTTAACATATATATATATACTCTCTGTATTTCTCTACAATACTTTTCTGACTTTTCTCCATAAGAAATCTTTTTTTTCTTTTAATAAATGTGAATGTGACATCTAATAAGAAATTATTAATTCATTTCTGCATATCAAATAGAATGTTTAACTTTGTAAAATGCCTAAATAAACGACCTCCAGATCCCACCTAGCTCCATTAAGAGTTACTATTACAATAGCTCTAGCAAACCAAATAAGTAATTGAAATTATAAAAAAATATATATCAATTTTAACTTTTAAAAGTAATTAAAGTTACAATATTAAATTACGTCATTTTATTTAATTAAAACTTAATTCAAAATTTTAAAAATTACCTTATTAAATATTAATGTTTAAATTTAAAATTTGATTGTTTTAAAATATATAATAGGTTTTCAAATTTAATTATCAATATTTAAAAAGATGAGATTTTAATTTTTAGATGTAAGTTAAAACTCTAATTGTTTTTGGTAATGAGGACTAATATGCTCTAATCTCTTCAAATTAACCCTAAAATTTAAATTACTTTAAGTCGAAACAGACTTAATGCCTTAATTGATTCTGCCCATCAATTAGCAAACTCTCCCCACCAAATCCAGTTGGGAAAGAAATCCCTATTTGTTCTCTCCAATTGATTCTACCCATGCTCCCAAGCTCATTAAAACTTAGCCTAATTTTACCATAAATTAAAATCTCATTAATCCCATTAATTTTAAGGTAGATTAATAGGATATATTGTTAACAGATTTCTTAGATTCTAAAAAATAGAACAAATAAAGTAAATTAATCTGTATTAGAAACGAAAGCTACATATGTGAAGGAATGAAGGTAGTGTGGGGAACCCCACATGAGGAAAGGCAGAAAACTTTCAATCAGCCACATATTATTAGATTATCAGACAGCAAATTAAAGTTAAATTAAGTTTCAACCTTCCAGGGGGTTTCCTAGAAGAAGAAGAAGAAAAAAAAAAAAAAAGCAGGGAAAGAATCAACCGCACTAATCTCCCAGTGTTGCTAACTAAACTGACCCACGAATCTCTTTACCCAAAGGTATTAATTAAGAGCATAATTAATCGTCTTGATGTCTACAGTCGCATTCATGAACAGTGACCAGGACAAAGCAACATGTTAAGTCCAAGATTCACGATGTTGCTATGAAAATGACACTGGAAAAGGAGAATTATGCATTTGTGGTCCAATTGGTTGGCCCTCAAGCTTTAGGGTTTGGGTGAGGTCAGGGCTTCGAGTTCTGCCACCGCCGTAAACTCTACTAACTTGCGACCTAATGATCGCGCGCCTCAAATGAGGGGGTGAAACGTTCACTTTTCTGAAAAAATTTCAGCTGCTAACAAACTAACTCTACTAACTTCCTAACCATCTATCTGGTCAAAAAAAAAAAAAAATTATGCATTTGATCCAATTGCATTTCTCCAGGAATATATGCATAAAATAGCAGATTCATTGCTTTTATGGGTTTCGTGTGAGCTATACTATCCTTGCTTTCCTTTTACTGCAAAAATGTTGTTGGGGATTTCTAGATAAGCAAAACCCCTAAATCTGTCCCATCTATCCCTTAAATAGGAGGGTGGAGACGGAACTATCTCTTTAAAATATACTAGGAGAAATTTTTTATTTAAATTATTAATTAAAATAAATTATTAATTATTTTATATGTAATATCATTTTATGTTAATTTTTAGTTAAAATATGTTTATGCGACAAATGAATTTTTAATGTATAATATCATCACACGTTATATGTTAAAAAATAAGTAATTTATTTTAATTAATAATTTAAATGAATAATTTATCGCTGCCTCCTAGATGGGACTTGAAGGTTATGCCTACAAAAAATATCCTCCAACTCTAACTTCTCATATATCATTCCTTTCTGTTTTCATCATTGTGAAGTTTATAAGCAATGTACTTGTATATAAGTATATTAATCGCTAAGAATTGGATACGTGCGGTTTCGGTTTATGTTTTTGGATTATTCTCGCTTTAGAATGTTTTGCTTTAGGTTGGCCAATCGTAAGTAATCACACCAAAGTTATAGCTAACAAATAATTTCTATTCATCAACTAAATTATTCCACATTATGTCAATATTTATAACAAACTATAGGCGTCTTACCTAAATTAAAATAATCAATCAAAACTAATAAGTTATATTATGTGTTATAATTTTTTTTAATATATTATAATTATTTATAAATTAATTAAGATGACAAAAAATTTTTTTTATAGACTCAAATTTGCAACCACTCATAAAAGATAAACAGTTTTACCCTCGGGTTTAATGTAGTTGTATGAGAGGAGATTCCTCTTATAAAGTTTTATTGTAAACGAATTTTGACAATAAATCATTTTTTCCATCTTATACCCACACTTCAAAACATTGCAAACTTCAGCGACTAACCTTTTTCTTAGTAGATTAATTAGGGATTAAGAAACTATGATGTAGTGTAAGTAAGAGAAAGAAATTACCTCTTTTGGTAACAATCTCGGAGACCTGGTGGAGACAACTGAAAATCTCGGCGACTTAACCGAACTAACGATCGAAACCGGCGACTGAGGATCCGACCCGGGAATCTCGTCACTAAGCACCTCCATCACCTCTTCCGGTACTGAACAAAAACTGGACACCGACGACAAGTACTCCATGACAGACCCGGCCTCTGGCACCTCGACAACCTCCACATCCCACAGAACCCAGTTCACCGTCGACCCGCTGTGCGGGTCATCGTGGGTAACAGAATTTCTCCACGGTGGCGTCCCCCCATTCGCCAGCAGATACTTCCCGCACGGCGATTTGAACTTCACCTGAAACCCATCCCTAATCGGCTCCCAAAGGATATTCCTGTCCGCCAACTTCTCCGGCACCGTCTGTAAAACTTTCTTCTTCCCCGTTATGCCCAGAAGAAATTCTTGGTCAGACGCCGCCAGGTACTTGCCGTGGCAACTCTTGAGGCGGATGACATGGGTTTCGTCCTCGACTAACTCGACAAACCATCTCCCTTTTTGGGCCGAGCCATTTCGTGACTGGCGGACAGTTTCTTTGTTGTCGTCGGCGACTAGGTACTTGTCGAGGTGGCTCCGGAGTCTGACGGCCTTAACTCCGGTGAAGAACTCCATTTCCAAATGGGAAAATTGAGATCGACGGGAATAGATTAATTAATAATCAATTCAGAATTGATGATGTATGAGATGATTAAAAGGGTTAATTTGTTTCGGAGTTATTTGGAGGGATTGACCTGGTTAGAATTATTCGTGTAGTTGCTTAGTGAGGAAGAAGATGAAAATAGGGAAGAGGTTGCTGTTGAGGAATTTTAAACTCAGTGAAGGTTCCAGGATGGAGAAGGGTTGACGCGCTGGAGACTGAACGATGGTGTGGGGAAGTGGGAAAGGCAGAAAAGGGGTAAAAGTAAAACCCGTAGATTTGTCTCTAACAGGGGAGTAAGGAAATATAAGTTACTTAAAAATTTAAAATGATATAAAGATTTATTTTTTTTTTTAAATTATAAATTAAGATAAATTATTTATGTTTTAATATATAATATTAATTTTGTATTAAGAATATTTATGTGATTAATAAAAAATTGATATCATAAGTTAAAAAATAAATTATTTATAATTAAAAAATAATTTATTTTTGTGTTTTTTTTTAACTCAAAAAAATTTATATATTAAAACTAACGTCATACGACATCTATATAAAAAGTTTTCTTATTTAAACAATAAAAGCAAATGATAGAACGCAAAGCACAATTAGAAATTTAAATTACATAAAGAATAGATCAAGTTCAATAAAAATAAATAAAGAAAAACAGTAAAAATTCACATCAACCATTTTTAAGGAACTTAATATATAAATCTTTTTGGTTGATGGTTTTAGACAAACTGAATGTCTTTCAATATACTCTTGAAGATAAACATGCTCTCTAGGATACCATGGCAAGGAGATCAAAGCAATCAGCAACCAACACCTAATATTTGTTTTATTGTCTTGTTGGCCATCAAATCTAAGTAAATAAACAAGAAAACCAGAAAAACAGTAAAGAAAAAGAAAAAAACCATCAGAGAAGGGTCACAAAAAGAACTGATAGACCAGTCAAAGTGGTCAACGGACAGAGAAGCATGAAAGGCCAGCTCCACCTTGCTTGAGAAGCCGGCGAGCTTCCAAGCATCAAAAACTTGTGAAGCCTGATGGCTTCCGAGCACCAAAAAAGCTGATGTTTGCAAAGGGTTTAGTTACAAAAAGCTGGAGAATTCTAGAGAAGAGAGAGAAATGGGGATTATGCAATTTTGATAACCTTGATCTGAACTATTTCTGTGTTTTTTTAAGGATAGATCTGCCCTTATGATTGTATTTGAGGGGTACATTTAAGAGTTATGCCCGAAAAAGGAGAGGTGTGGAACATATGAGTTGGAGGACGCGTAGGCTTGGACCGTGGATTATGGTATTCTCCATTTTTCTTTTCTCTTTTTTCTTTTTTTTTTTAATTAATTTATTTATTTGTTATTATTTTTTACTTATATATCACAACAAATGAAAATTTAACTATTTATATAAATAATAATTGATTATTTATATATATAATTATTATTGGATATTTGTATTTTATTAAAAAAATTTATTTATCATATATAATATATTAAATTTTTATTTAAAATTTATATTAAAAAATAAAAAAAATAAAATGAATTGACTAAAAAAAATAAAAATTTGACTTTAGGTTAACTAATTCATCAATTAAATTTATTGATGTAATAATGATGTTGTAAAAGTCAATTTGTACTATGATCAACTTTAAAACATAGGTTAGAAAGGTAATAATTATATATTACTAATTATTATGAAAAGAATAAAAGTTAAATTTTGATTTTATTAATTATCTAATTAAAATTATATACTTTTCATTATTGTTAAAAATAAAGTTAATTTTTATATTTTTTACAAAATTAATAAAAAAATATAATTAATGCATTATTAAAAATACAAATTAGACAAACCCTATCTAATTTAAGATGTTTAAATTTAATTCTCTACTTTTTAAATAAAATATCATTTAATATATTTATTCTTAATTTACCTTTATTTAAAAAAAATAATTACAAAATACCCCCTTCATTCAAGGTACGTGGACCTAATTTGCTAATGTGAGTCATCTAGTTGTCTACTATCTTTTTATTTTAGTAATGTTATACTTATAATATCACATATGATTGTAAATTTATAATTATACTATAATATTAAATAAATATGTCATGAGGTTAAATAAAAAAAATATTATATTACAAGTAGATATTTGAATAAAAAAATTAATTATATAATGGCACATTATATTATAAGTTTATAAAATCACATGAGATTGTAATTATTGCATTTTTGTTTTATTTTAATATATTATTTAATGAAGTTATTTCTATTTCATCCTTATTCTAAAAAGATAATTACAATATATATTAAATAAAATAATTATTTAAGTACTAATTAATTAAAGATAAATATAAAATTTTTTATCAATTAATTATTATATCTTTATTTGATTAAATATATTAAAATTGAATTGAAAAAGAGTTTTTTTATGCCATATAAATGAATACTCCCTCTTTTTTTTTTATTGTCTTATTCTTCAACTTTATGTAAATTAACTTGACAATTTTAGATAACAAATTAATAACAATTAAAAAAATTTTTGATTCAAATGAAAATACCTAATAGCAACTAAGTATAAAAAGAAAAAAAATAATTATCATTTATTTATTTATTATATAAAATTATTTGACTAAATTTTATTCAAATGTCAAATTGAGACAATAAAATCTCATAGGAAGTGTAGTATAAATGAACATTAATAGACATTAATTTATCATAGCCTTAAACCTGGGACATAGGTAATAGGTTAGACAACTTTTTTTTTTTTTTCTTTTGTTAATTAAGTATTGTCTTCTGCATCTTGAAGTTTAGAGTGCAGGACCATTGAAGGGAGGCTAACGCCTAACAGAGTGAACGATACGGCGTTCATATCTTACATTTGTCAACGGGAAATTCATTTGTGGAATTGTGGTCCACTGGGCTTTTTCCTCTGGGTTACACTAAGCCCACTCAAAACCCTAGCCGAGCTCAATAACTCAAAGAAGAAAATGTTTGATTCTCTCTTTTTATAAGGATTTTACTATATAATTTAAATTATTAAATGAAAATAAATTTAAAATTTTTTATATGTAATTTTTATTTAATTTAGGTTATAAAACAAGACACATACAATAAATTCAAGTGTAATTTGATTATTTAAGTTTGAGTCAAATTGGTAGTATTTTTTTAGGGTTTGTTTATCTTGCATTTTAAAGATACAAGGTAAAAAGTAATAATTATAATATTTTTTCTTAAAAAATGTAAAATTTTAAATTAAAAAATAATTTCTATTTTATAATTTAAAATAAACCAATAAAAAGATAACATATGGCATTTATAATTAAAACAAAAATCAACATCATCACTTTTAAAATAAAAAATAATTATTATTAATCAATAATTATTTTTTATCTTATATTATAAAGATACAAGATAGATAAATCTTTTTTTAATTATACTTGAAAGTCCAATTTGTAGTATTTTTTTAATAAATTATAATTTTTAAAAGAAGAGGGATTTGAATCCCAATACTAAATTGAGGGATGTACCTTATAATAAAACATATGGTTATCAAGTCATGAAATACAACTGTCAAAAGTTTAATTAATAGTATTTTTTTAACAAATTTACATTTTAAAAAAAAGTGATTTAAATTTTAACCATTAAATTAAGAAAAACACCTTATTATAAGAGTTATAGTGATTAGGACGCGGAAACTTGATGCCTCTAACCGGTAGTATTTATGATTTCAAACTTTTTAGTTTTTAATATTAGGACTGACACATGCCTTAAGTCTATACCTAGTGCCTACTGCATAGATAACAACTCCAGCCCCTAGGGTATAGGGGTGGTGTTATTGCCACAGCTTCAAAGGTTAATACCACAGCTTTTTTAATTAATTGACCATTAACCCACGCGGAGAAGGTGATGACTGCTGCAAGTTGGATTCAAAATGAGGGGTATAATAGTCAAATAACTAAAAAAAGCTGTGGCATTAACATTAGTGGCTGTGGCAATAACCCCACCCAGGGTATAGCTATTGGAAAATAATTAAGAGCAATGCTAGGGGCACTCGCCTGCTGCACTCTCCGGCCAAACACTTTCTCTTTTATTGGGCCACGTTATTTTGGTTTCGAGATGTTGCGCCGGAAAGCTTTAAAGAAGCTTACGTGGCCCAATGAAAGGGGAAGTGTTTGCCGGAGAGTGCAAAAAGCGAGTGCCCGTAGCACTGCTCAATAATTAATAGTTGAGAGGTAGTTTTTGTTACTTATAGTCCTGAATTCAAACATCATTATTTATTAAGACGCATTTCTTCAATTAACTCTCACCCTGTCATTTTTTCTCCTAACTACGATGTCACCTGCTCTCTATTATTATTATTATTATTATTTATTGGGATGTGTTAAATTAATTTTTATGTATTTTAAAATTTTTTAAACAATTTTTTTTTTGGTTTTCCGTCCGGTATCCGAAACTTCGCCCCGACTACTTCGGACTCGATCAGCTGTGGCGCACCAAAATGGTGGGTGGGTCTCCCAACGAAGGCTGCTGCGTATACAAAGTTTCGAACTCGAGACCTTACTTAAACCGGAATAAGCCACTTGCCACTTGATTCAACCCCTCGTTGGTAATTTTTTAAACAATTTTAAAAGTAAATGTTTTACATTAATTTATAATATTTTAAAATTTAAAATTTTACAATATTATTTAAAAAAATTAAAAATTTAAATTTAACTTATAAAATTGTATTTATTTATCAATAAATCAATTTTGGAGTCATCGCAGCCGTTGGAGCGCGCTTCGGCGCACTCTGCCCTCATAAAAGCAAACAATCCTAGCCCTCGAAATGATGGCAACAATCTGAAATCCCTAAAGCCTAAGCCCACATGATAATGAAATACCCAACAAATGCGTAAATAAAAGCAAACAAGCCCAACCCACATGAGACATTTATTCCAATTGCAGTGTCGAACACGAAAGCCCAAAGCTGACTGCAAAGTACAAATAAATAAAGAAAGGAATTTTCTAGCATTTGGCCTTAAGTACATATTAAGATTATTTTTTTATTATAAATATATATTAAAAAAACAAAATTAATATTAATTTTAATATTAAATAATTAATAAATTAAAAATTCATTTTTATTTTTAAATATAAATTTATAATATATACATAAAATCATAAATTAAACAAAGTTATAAAGAAAAAAAAAGCCATTGTAATTATTATTTTTTAAAAAAGGCCAATATCTACCGAACCAAACCCCATTGTAAATTCATTGTCAGTTTCTTAAAAAAAGAAAAAAGAAAAAGAGAAAAAGAAAGGAGGAAAGAAAAAGTGGGGCGTGGTGCTCAAGGTCCCAGTCTCTGCATTCTTTAATGTCGAAAGTGGTGGTAGTTTATTGACCCACATGTCTTCACCTATCATCTTCTATTGAACTCGTCTAAATTGTTTCAGTATTAATTATGTATATTTTAAATTTATATAAAAATAATTTCTAATTTTATTTTTAACACTATAAATATATTCTTTAAGTTTAATTTAGTTTTTTTATAAAATTAAAATAATTTTTTATTTTTTACATTAATTAATAAAAAAATAATTAATATACTTTTAATTTATGTCACAAAAATTAGAAATGTCATTTTCTATTGCTTACAGTTTCTTCTCCGAAGACCATCTACATCATCCATGTTGAAAATTTAAACAATTTTGCGTGGACGACGTGGTGGTACTTTCGGGGTCAATCCGCAACTATACGTATAATTCACGAAAGTCTTTCAAGTTCCAAGGATTTCATAAGCCCCCAACTTCACAGAAGATTTTCAGCTTGATTACCGCTTCTTGTTTGGATTTGACAATGAAACTAGCAATCATGTCAAATGATGCCCAAATTAAAAAGGTTATGAAGGAATTTCGAATAGAGTAAAATAATTCAGAGGAAAAAGGAAAAGGATGAGCCTTTTTTCTTCTTTTCTTTTCTAACATAATGAGGCTTAAAGTAACTTGTTTTTCACTAAATGGGTGTAGGTACAATTTATATTAGTAACTTGTTTGCAAACTTTGTTACTTCCATTGCAGTGTTTAATCTAGTCCTAAACATATACTTGTTTGAGTAGCAAAAGAAGTTATAAACTTTAATAACTCTTTTTAAAATTACTAATTAATAAGATTGTAAACAAATCAACTAGAACTTGAGTAGTCAAGTGCAAAGCTCGAGTTTTATTAAATTTTAAAATTTTTAACCTAAATTTAATAAGTTTATTAATCATCAACGATTTGTTGGTTCGAGTGAAAAAAATTTTGTTTTTTTTAAGTAAGATCTCAAATTCAAGTATTGTGAATGAAAAAACAAGCGTTATGAGAGTTTCCTCTTAAATAAGGTTCAATGCGATTCAATTCTGAATTAGTTGGGATCCATTGTGATCATCGAATGCTGAGAAATTAATATAAAAAAAATAAATTTATTAAACTTAAAATCAAAATCTTATTCAATTTATTTAAGAAACGAATTTAAACAGTTTTATGAATTAGTAAAAAACTCTAACATAACGAGTGGCATGGTAATATTATTGAGTTCTAAATTTAACTTGAGTGCACAATGAAACTAGCAATCATGTAAAGTAAAATGATGTCAAAAATTCAAAATGTAATGAAGTACATTTTGAAGAAAGGGAAAGATAGGAAGCAAAGGAAATAGAAAAAGAAAGGTCAGGGACCAGATAGTGTCACTCTTCCCCACACCACACCGGCCCCTTGACTCTTTCAAGTCTTTTGTCTTCACTTCTCCCTATTTCACGTGACTCTCCCTGTGCCCCCCTTCTTATTCCATGAACCTAGGCTCGGCTTCTTCCTCAGAACCTTCCCTCCTAAACACTTTCAGATTCAGATCTCATCTTCTTCTCCGTTCATGAGTTCGCCGTCGCGCCTCTGCTGTCTCGTGGCCGTAATGTTCTATCTTTGCTGGATCTTCAGTAAGGTAGCAGGGGACTTGTGTTCCTTGCAGCCGGACGGGTTTTCTAGATCTTCATGTCCGCCGTTTACTTCCACTCCTCCATTTCCTTTCTCTCCGGTGCTAGGCTGTGGGCACCCTTCCTTCCACATCAAATGCTCCTCTCCTCACTCTATTATGTCCATCAATAATGTTTCTTTTGCTCTCCTTGGCTACGAACTCAACTCCACTTCTCTCACTCTCTCTCCTAACCCTACATCACTGCCGGCAACCACGGAGACGACTGGACATAGGGAAGAATGCCCTTTGGGGAACTTACTTTATGTTCCTAATCGGTCTATAAATCTATCGGGTTCTCCTTTTCGGTTCTCGGATGCTTCTTGTTCCCGGCTCTCTCTTCTCCGGGCTTGTTCGCCGCCGACTCTTCCGAACTGCAACCATTGTCAGTGGGAATGCAAGCTCGTCAAGAACCCAGCTCAGCTTCTCCATGGCTGCAGCGGATCCACTAGTTCTGATCAGAGACAGGGATGTCAGAGTGATGTTTTGGGGTTCCTTGATCGTTTCTTGAAAATCGGCATTCAAGTGGAGTGGGACGAAGCACAAGATTCATATTTCTCCAACTGCACAGACTGCAAGGCTAAGAATGGAGTTTGTGGCTTCAATTCTTCCGACCCCAACAAACAATTTATCTGTTTCCTACCGGAAACCCGTATCGCGTCATGGAATCCGAATAGAGTTGCAATTTTGTCTTCAATCTTCCTATTGACGTGTGTTTTTCTTGTGATTTCAGTTGGCATTGCTATTTTCCGTTCTAGAAAGCTAAATTCGCAATCCTCAGAGGAAGACCCGACGACTTTGTTCCTCCATAGCCATCGTACCGCGAGTCTCCTTCCTCCAGTCTTCACTTATGAGGAGCTTGAATCCTCCACCAACAAATTCGACGCCAACCGCAAGATTGGCGATGGTGGGTTCGGATCAGTTTATCTGGGTCGGCTCTACGACGGCCGAATCGTGGCCGTGAAGTGCCTCCACAAGCACCACCACGCAGCAACTGCAGAAAAAGCCTTCTCCGCGAAATATTTCTGCAACGAAATCTTGATTCTCTCTTCCATCAATCATCCGAATCTAGTCAAGCTCCATGGATACTGCAGTGACCCGAGAGGGCTGATATTGGTCTACGACTATGTTTCAAACGGTACTCTCGCCGATCACCTTCACGGCCTGGGAAGTCTTAACCGGGGAGGGTCATTGACTTGGCAAGTGAGATTAGACATTGCTCTGCAAATAGCTTCAGCGATTGAGTATTTGCATTTCTCGGTCGTGCCGGCGATCGTTCATCGGGATATTACAACGTCGAACATCTTCGTGGAGAAAGACATGAGGGTGAAAGTAGGGGATTTTGGGCTTTCAAGGTTCCTCGTTTTCCCAGATGCGTCGTCTAAGTCAGAATTTGTGTGGACCGGGCCTCAGGGCACACCCGGGTACTTGGATCCGGATTACCACCGGTCCTTCCGGCTGACGGAAAAGAGCGACGTGTACAGTCTCGGAGTGGTGTTGCTGGAGTTGATTTCGGGATTGAAAGCGGTGGATCAGAGCAGGGACAAGAGGGATATAGCGCTGGCTGACCTAGCGGTATCGAAAATCCAAATGCGTCTCCTCCATCAGTTGGTTGACCCAGTCTTGGCAGCCGACGGAGACGCAATAGACGGCGTCGACGCGGTTGCGGAATTGGCGTTTCGGTGCGTCGCAGCCGATAAAGACGACCGACCCGACGCCAGGGAGGTGGTGGAGGAGCTGAAGCGAATTAGAAGCCGCACACGCGTGCTTCGGACATCAAATTCCAATGTTAGCGTATGCAGTGCTGAGGTGGCGAAGGGTTAGTTGAGTTTGGGACGTGACGTGGACGGTCAGAACGGGGCCCACGTACACATGTGTGTCTGTACGAGAGTTGACCGTTTGCCATTTTTCCTGTCAGATGTTTACGTTGCGTAGGGATTTTGCTTTCATGAAATAGAATGTAAGAATATATATATATATATATATATGGGCCTGTGGGCTTAAAATATCCTCAGAATGTATTCAATGAAACTGGGCCTTACTCCAGCCTTTTTTGTTCTGCATGTTTACTTCTCAGATTGTACCAAAAAATACATATATATTTTGAAGAATCTCCTGCTTGCAGTTTGAATTACCAAATGAGAATGATTAAATGTCCAATTGCCTCTATTGTGTTATCTGATATAATTTGAATTGCACAATAATTTTTTTTCATATTTTGGAAAAAAAAAAAGAAAACAATTTTCTTATTTAAGAACAGCACAGATTGAATTCTTCCAAGCTGTAACATACATGATACAACAGAAACTTTGAGAGTTTTCAGGTTCAAATCCTCCTGTTTTTATGTATATGGTACAATAAAAGGTGAACGAGTATTCGCCTCTTACGGAGCTAGATTGAGTTAGGATAGAAAAAGGGGCATGTCTTCTTGTGTTCATGCATCATACCGTTTGTTTGAAATAAGTAGCTTCTAATGTCCTGGCCTTTTCTCCGGCAGCAACTGACGCCTCTTGCTGGTTGCTCATGGTATATGCTTTCTCCTGAAACATAAAGCAGGGGTGAAGATGTGTTGTGCATGGTTCTGCCTAGCGTAAGGCCTTTAGAGTTAAGGGAAAGAGTTTATATACCAGTACGCGCCATGAGAATGGAACCCCTTCCCTTTTCTTGATTCGTTTCTTGATTACTTCAATTGCTGCAGTTTGAATGGTTTGTCAGAAAAGAAACACCAATAACTTAAACTGAAATATGAGTAAGTAGCTGGTATCACACCCTTGGTAATTTCCCCGGTATTCAGTAACATGGTATACCAGACTTCGTTGAACACATCAAGCTGTTCATCTGATGCTCCAATCATCTAGCATAATGAAGTAAAATTCAAATTTTTATGCAGTTATTTGATCATCAACCTAATGATCATGAAAAGAGGTTAGTAGTTGAATTGGTACCCTGTAATCATTAGCATCAAAATCAGGACCGAGCAATTCCAAAGCTTGTTTGTCGTTGCCCCGTCCATACTGATACAAGACTTCTGCAAGCTAAAATGAAAATAGAAAGAGTAAGAGAGGTTTAAAATTTCAGGAAAGAAAATATGTGGCAGAGGAAACGGCAATAGGGAACAAACCAGAATTCCTCTTTGCATTAACTCTTGCTTCTTCTTGCTCATCTTTGAAATTCTATATAAAAAGTAACAGAATATAAATGTAATGAAATAATCCTGACCCAAAACTAGAGGGGTTGAGGAAAGAGAGGAATATCCATCTGACCTGAATTGCAAGCCCTTTAGTAAATCTTCTGCTTCAGAGAGTTCTCCAGTAAAAGCTAAGGCCCATAAAGTCAACAAATCAAGGTGCCATTCTAAATACCAGTAGGCCTGAGCATTGCAGTGATCCATGAACATCCAAAAGACAAAAAGTTAATGCATGCAATAATTTTGAGAGAAGATAAAGAATCATACACACGTTGTTAAACATCAGCCCTGCATGTTTAAACTAAAATTTAAAATTATTCATATATGTCGAATGATCTTCGATTTTTTCATATCAATTAAAAGAGCGCTTTAACTTGCAACCAAAACAAAAAGTGTACATGAGGGTGATGCAATATAACTTACTTGATCTGTTAAACATGCTACTAAAGTTTTCAAATGATCATTAAAGACATCACTTTTTCCTCGTACATGCACCCGCAACATCAAACCCAGAGCATTCAGGTATACCTAAATGCAGGAGAAGAGGAGTTTAAAAAATTAAAATATGAAGATACATATAGGACATATCGAAAAGATGAATAAATGAATCTACCTCTGCATGAGAGTCACTTCTTTCCAACTCCTTCCATATGCGATTTTCATAAATCTCTACAATCTTTTCAATTGGAGCATGACCTTCCAAGTAACAAAGAGCCACATGCCACCAATTGTGCGTTAACCTAGATATTGACATTTTTTAAGTCCAACTTTCAGCTTAAAAAGAAATAAAAGAAGAATAAATTATAAGAGCAATGTTTTCGAATAGATTAATACTGTACATGAATGATGAACACAAAGTCCATGAAGACGAGCATTCTTCCATGAACTGTACTGCTTCTTTGAAATGGCATTCATACTGAAGAACATGGCAAAGCTGCAGGACAAGCCAAACACAATAAGCATCACTTTTAGAAATTTAAAAGTCCAGAAATAGCATATATAAAAAAGTACACAGTACATTTCTAACTGTAAAATTAGTTCAATATATTTATCAAACAAAAAATCACTACTGTTCAAAATCAGGATTCTTTTGTACATATGAACCAGCAAACTTGATGAACAACATACAAAATTATTGTTTTGTGGAAATATCATGACAATCACAATCTGAATTATAGTAAAATTGCAAGTAACAATCTTGAGCATAAGCCTAGGGAAAAGCATTGTGTAAAGTTATCAAAGCAGACTATAACAATTTGAACTCACATCATGTTGTGTCCAACAGTCTTGCTTGTTGATCTCAAATCCCTTTCTTGCAGCTTCCTCTGCCTCTGACATTCGACCTAGCTCTAATAATGGAAATGCTAGCATGCCATATACATAATTTTCTTGTTGATTTTCTGGTAGTACCTATTGGATTTGCAACTCATTAAACCAACTGAGAACTGAAAAATGAAAGTCATAAATTTATGCCATTTTGACATCAATTATCAAGTCATTAGATCATATGGTACCTTAATGCAATATGTTAGTCAGCATTAATGCATGCAAGTGCAGAGACACTACAAAAAATGATTCACTAAATTCAGCAGCTTTTTCATTTTACTAGATAAGTAATTCACTACTGGAAAGAAAGTCACCTGTTGGACCAGAACCAAAGATAGGTCAGGTCTGCCCATATAGAAGCACAAGATTTGGGCCCTCTTCAATGAAGCAAGATCTCTCGGAAAATCTTTTAGAAGCTGTGTTACACATAAATTGAATATAATAAGCACATTTTCAACAGACTAAAGCCTAGCAGATAACATATCAGGATTGAGTGATCTCCAGGAAAATAATTATTTGTAAAATATTATCAGTGAAATCAGTTAAAAAAAGCAAGCCAAATTATTTCAACATATCAAAAGAGTTCATAAAACATTTAAAGATGATGATCTTGTTGCATAAATGAAACTCAATATTCTTTTGTGACTTTATCTACCATTTATTAGTAAAGCACCATTCCTTGGTGGGAAATGCAAAAATTTACACCAACTAAATTATCTAGGCACCCAGTAGATAAATGGCAGCACCGAGACTAAATAGCCTATAACATGTTTTTCTAAGGCTCAAAGAGACAACTGAAATAATTTCTGCAAGACTGGCTCTAGATTAATTTCCACAAGTACCAAGAAGCGTATTTGGAAGTTAAAACTTGTAAAATAGTAGCTAGATTTACAAACTAGAGTGTGCATTTACTGAAGATAGAGGAATCTTAATAGGATATGCAGATCAAGATCATGATAGGAAATTACAAGTGGTTGAACAAAGTACCGATAAATGCTAACAAACTAGGGGAATGTTGAGGGCTTCTCTACCTTGGAGTGTAATTCCAGCGCAACATCATCGTCTCTATTCTCAGAAATTAAACAATTTATGGAATCAAAAACTGCTTTCTCATACGAGGTGGCTTGGTCCTGTTCCCAAATAACAAAACACAAAGGCACAAAACAATCATCAGAACTACAAACAACTACTCAGAAAAAATAGGAAAGGTTACAATTTTACCAGTCTAGACTTGGCAGCTACTAGATATGGAAGAGCTTTAGTAGCGTTGCCAGAGGAGAGAAAGTGGGCAGCCAAAATGTTGGCCAAGACGCAGTCTTTATCATGAACCGGAGCTTCCATTATCACACTCCTCTCCCTCCCATAACTAAGCACCTTGATCAATCACACACAAAGCAAACCCAAATCAAGAAATTTCCCAAAGAACAAAAAGTTGAAATCTTTTTTTCCTAAATCAAGAAATATGGACCTGCTGACAATAAGCATTGATGGCAGAGATGCAAGAATCAGAAGCGGTTCTGACTTCATAACCCCATCTGTTCAATCTCACTTCTTCCATGGCTGTTACTGTCCTTCTTTTGTTTTGCTAGAAAAGGGTAAAAGAAGAGAAGGGGCAAGGTGCAGCAAGTGCCGATGAAAATGTGTCGGGGATTCCTAAAACTGGAACGAGTTATGTGGGTTTTTGGAAATTTGTTGGGAAAATAGAGTAAGATATGAATCCGAATGGATTGATATAATCTAAGAATCTGTGGAAGAAGACATGTGTAAACTTCTGATATTGGCATCTGAAAATCACCAGGCTGTATAGGAATTTTTATCTTCCGTTAATTTGATGATATCAATCCAACTCGGAAATCTTTCCTTTGGTGTCTGTTTGGATAGGGTCTTTTAAATTACTCCATGGGAACTTTAAAATTACAATTCGGAAAATTAGTGATTTTTATAAGAGAATCAATTTTTTTTTTTTTTAAACAATTGAGAGTATGTTTGGGTTAACTATTTTAGATGTAATTGATAATTAAAAATTAAAAATTAATAATAATTATTTATAATTTAAAAATATTTAATTCATTCTGTTAAAGTTAATAGTTAATAATTGTTTATAAAATATCAAAACAAACAACCTCTAAAACTATTTGATGAGAAAAGAGTTAAATTGTATAATTATTTTTTTGTTTTTATGATAAAATTAAAAAAATAAAAAATACTCTATAAAAAATTAATGAATTTTACAATACAATTTTGTTAGCATCATAAATTTTTTATATTTGATATAAAAGTTTGCATTAGCATAGTTGGTTGTAAGATATCAAATGGGATAACTTAATTGGATTTGTGTCAAGCTGTATATTCTTTTTTCATTTTTTTTAATCTTTTTTCATTTTCTTTTCTTTTTTATGATGACAATCCAAGAGAGTGAACTGGGAAATATTTCCTCTGTCTTTAAGTATTTGTTTAGTAAGACATCAATTTTATTAGAAAAATATTATATAAAAAATTAAAAATTCTTGTATAGAACATTAATGAATTTTATAATAAAATTTTGTTAAGTTTGTAAATTTTTCTGTATTTAATAAAAATTTGGTGCAAAAATATCAAGTAGATCTTGTATTAGAAAAACTAGAAAACTAGGGAGAGAGTTTTTTCATTTTGAAAATGTAGGAAGGAAAAAATTACTTATTGAAATCGTATTAGAGAAAAAAATACTTAAAATATCAATTTTACCTCTTTCTTTCTTTCTTTCTTTCTTTTTTTTTTTTTTGGAATATCAAAATGTGATAATACAAAAGTAACCCTAAAGAATTCACATAAAGGAAAAAGTTGAGGAAAAGTAACCAAACACACACTAAAGGTTTGAAATGTTATTTAAAATTGTAAATTTATCACCAAATGTATTTTTAAATAATATATAAAATATGAGCATATTCATAAACAAAAAAATTAATTATATAATAATTGATCATCATTATATTATAATATCATGTAATATTATAACTTGAAATTAGTGTAAGGTAGCTCATTTTTCTAAATTTTTTAGGAAGAGTCAATTTAAAAATTCATTTTACAAATAATATTTTTAAAAATTGACAATTGAATTAAATATTTTATTTATATTGATTATATATTAATTTTTAAATTAATCTAACACTTAATAAAAAAATTTTTATTTACTTGTATATATTTAACAATATTAAATTTTGTGCAAGCAATAAACCAAATTAATTTAAAAATTAACATATATAATTTATGTAAATAAAACTTTCAATA